CCGCCCCGTCTGTGTGCTCGTGCAAAACCAGGTTTCATTTCAGCCCATAAGGAACAGGGTGGCATTAACGCTTCCAGAGAGGTCACTGCTGAGGCGGCCTCGAGACCAGCAAGGGGAAATGCCCAGGGCCCCGGTGCAGGGCACATGCCCTTGGGTCACGAGCTCCTGTCACATCCCGAGCTCAGTGCATCTCCTCCCAGGGGAGCCTAAGTCTGCCCGGGCCGGAGGACGGCACGGTGAGAAATGGGGGGAGGGGTCTCCACAAAGCTGGGCCTCCCTCCGCGTGTCACACAGGGAGCAGAAAAGCACATCCGTTCCACGGGCGTGGAACAGAGACAGGGCCTTACTGGTAGCGCTGGCCGGGACTCGGCACTTTTCCTGAGGAGTCAGGTTGGTGAGGACCTGTCTCAGTTAGGGAGGCATTTCCTCATCGACACGGGGAGTCCACAACAGTCATTGGTAGTAAAGGCCTACGTGTGTACACGCCAAATAGGTACTTAATTAATGCTTGTGGGTAGAATCTTCTACGATACACAACACAAAAACGCATTGATTCATCCAACAGACATCTGCCAAGTTCTTGCTGTGCAAGGGGGGCCGAGGGTTTGGAAATGGGAATCACAACATTCCTAACCCAAGATGCTCACAGCCTGCGAACGCGTACGTGTACCGTAAGGGCCATGGCTCGAGCCAAAGGAGGCGTCGGGAGATTCCGGAGAAGATCGGGTTTATTGTGTGCGTGCGCACGACGTGGGGGAGGGAGGCTCTGGGAAGGCTCCTGGGGTGGGTGACAAGGGAGGCCAGTCTCGAGTGTCCCAGTAGCTGGGTGGGGGGTGGGGTGGGATAAGATCACGGAAAAGTGGAAGAGTATGTGTGGGGAGCGGCCGTAGTTCTTAGCGCCTGGGGAGGGAGCAGCAGGGAATGAGCCAGAAATGGAAGTGGACTGAGGCCTCAGACGCTGTGCCGAGAAGGCAGCGGGGTTGGGGGAGGGCAGTGATGCTGCTCCTCAGGTGTTGATCCACGATCTCTGGGTTTTTTGTGGGGGGTGTTTTGCAAGGAGGTGCCCAATGAACATGAAAATGTCTATTTCAATGGATTCTGCAGATACAGTGTCTTAATACCAATAAATAAACACCGTAAAACACAGGCTGAAAACAGCAGGCACGTTCATAGAGTCCGGTGCCTGCCAGTGAACCCCACTACTGAGCTGTGAGTTGGGTGAGCAAGACGACCTACTAGAATAGACGGTGACAAATTGCACTTGTAAGTATTTTTCTTTAAAACTGAGGGACAAATTGGCTTTACCGACACTCGGTACACGAAAGGACCGTGGCAGTCCTGCTGGCCTGTGTGTTGGGGACCATGCACCCCGGGGGGCAGGAGGGGCTCTGAGACACAGCGTGGCCCTGGGTCCCCGCCCACCACTTTGCTTGGAGCCTCGCCCCCGTCTTGGGACTTCACTTGACTCAAGATATGATGCGTTGTGCTCAATTAAAACAAACAAACGAAATCACAGCTGAAGCTTTCTGATACTTTATAGGGACTTGGGAAGTGACCGTGAACACCGTCAGTGACCGGGAGGCTCATTGGTTATCTCAGGACTCAGCACGTAAGGAGGAAATGCAGACTCTCCTCCGAGAGGCCTTTTCTTTTACTCAATGGCGAATGACTGCGTGAGTGTGTCAGATAACTGATTTCTTTTAAGCCAACACACTCAAACCTGTCCCTTCAAAGAAAAGGTGACAAGGCGTGAGAGCTGCGGCTTTTCAAACTAAACCCCAGAGCTCGGAAGGGTGTTTGGAGTGGGTGTCCGCTGCAAGAGAGCCATCTACACACACGCTCACACCCACACTCCAGGAACCTCGGGCGCCAGAAGCTTCCCTGCCCCAACAGCCCCTGAACGCCTAGGGCCCCAAGAACCCTCGCAGGCTGATAAGCAGGAGTGAAAAGCAAGTCTCCCAGCTGGGAGCGCGGTCTGTGTGGCTTCACAAGTGACGTTGTGAACATGGCATTTCCCTGTGACACCACCAGAACCAGGAACTGAAATACACAGAACCCAGAGCCAGACCTGCCGACCAGGGGACTCAGGTTTCACCAAGGCTTCATAAATGGGATGGAGTTGGTTAAACATCCGACTTCAGCTCAGGTCATGATCTCGCGGTCTGTGGGTTCGAGCCCAGTATCGGGCTCTGTGCTGACAGCTCAGAGCTTGGAGCCTGCTTCAGATTCTGTGTCTCCCTCTCTCTCTCTCTGCCCCTCCCCTGCTTGCACTCTCTCTCTCTCAAAAATAAACATTAAAAAAATTAAAATAAATGGGATGGAGACTTGCTCACAAGGCTTTCTTTTAGAAACAACATAGGAGGGTGGTGCCCGGCTGGCTTTGTCGGCAGAGCACACAACTCTTGATCTGGGAGTTGGGAGTTCAAGCCCCAAGCTGGGCAGAGAGATTACTTAAAAAAAGAATCATAAAAACAGCACATGTTTTTAAGGTTGGTCTGGTAGCGTCAATATGTGGAACAAATTTAATCGTGTTTGCTCTGCCTCTTGTCCCTTTAAAAGGTCTGTATTTCTGTATGTATTTAGGTCTGTGATTTTCAGGACACTAGTACACGGCTCTACTTAACAAATGAATAATTAAAACCCATGGGGTACAAGCTCAAATTCTTTGACGCATACCAGCACACAAGAAACAGCTGGTGGACGATGTAATTACCCGAGTGGCCCCTGCATAGATGAGGTGGGAACAGATCCACAAGCCTTGGTCATTGTCCGAGAGCCGCCGGAGGCTGGGTTCAAGGCTGTGGTCACTTGCATTGGACCACCTGTGGTTTGCTGGCCTCACGCTCACCAGCACCGCCCACCCCATCCAGGGTGTCTCCTTAGGGTCGCACAGCTCCGAGTCTATAGTGAAGCTCGTCACCTGGCAGGGCTTGGTGGGGTGTACTTTTAAGTCGAAGGTGTGGCCCAGGAGAGAGTCCCACAAAGCCTGTGCTAGCTCCTGTTTCCCTCAGCCCTGCCGGAGCCTTGCTCCCATCCCTGTTCTGTCCTGCCTCTCTAGGTGGAGGAGATGAGGTAATGGGGCACTTGAAGGCCCCCAGGGAGAGGTAACCACGGCTCAGGCTCATTACTCAGTTCCTACAAAGGTACCTGTCTGCCTGTTGACTCTGAATCTCTGAGCCATTCGGGGGATGAGCAAAGCCCAAGTCTCCCGGGACAGGGACAGTGGGACACACCATACACTTTCCCACAGGGGCCTGGGACTTTTGGGGTTTTGTCTTCTTGGAAAATCGTTTCCCAGTCCGGTCCAAGCCCCTCTGAGAAGCAGCCGTGGACATCCTGGCTGCACGACAGAATCTTCCGGGGGTGCTTCAAGACAGAAACTGACATCAGAGGCCCACTCCGGAAGATTCTAGGCTCTGGTCTGGGCACGAGACTCACTCCTGGGTGATTCTTTTTCTTTTTAAGTTTATTTATTTTGAGAGAGAGAGAGAGAGAGAGAGAGAGAGAGAGCACAAGCATGAGCGAGTGGGGGAGGGGCTGAGAGAGGGAGAGAGAGAATCCCAAGCAGGCTCCCCACGGTTACTGCAGAGTCCAACTTGGGGTTCACTCTCATGAACCACGCACTCATGACCTGAGCTGATATCAAGACTCAGATGCTTGACTGACCGATGTGCCCAGGCTCCCCCGTTCCGGGCGATTCTGACACGCAGTCAGGGTTCCGCTCTCGCCCCTCAGCCTCTGGACGCCTGCGGCAGCTTTGCTGATGCCTCGCTTGCTACTTATCTCAACCCGTCTTACGTCACAGCTACTGGTGAATAAATCATACTCTAGCAACATCCTAAGGGCCCCGAGAGCAGGGATCACATCCAATCGGTCTTTCTGTCATGCTAGAGCCTTGCCCATCCTTCTCCCCAGACTTCTAGAATGCTTTTCCCCTCACTGACTCGAGAGCGGATAGGTCTACTGTCGTCGTGGGAAGCAGGGCTAGAGAACAAACAGTCACGGAGGGAGTCCTCCCTGGGCCTTCCCACTCGAGACCAAGTCAAAACAGGTTCCCAGGAGACCAGCACGTGCACCGTGTAAGGCTAGCGTCTTTGAAGGAACAACCTGAGCTGCTCTGTCTTGTTCAAATGGCTGTCTCATCAGGATGATGGGAGATGGCCTCGGAGAGGGAACGATGTCATCCTGTTTGCCGGATGTGATGACCAAGTGTGCAGTGAAAAAAAAAAATCTGCAAGGAGTTGAAAAACAGGTGAGGGGATTCCCAGGCCATCCATTTTCACCTGTTTTCCTTTTTT